TTTGAGCCTCAAAAAGTCAAGAAACAAAACACCATATTACATTAGACAAATCTGTTAGAAAAGCAAAGATGACACTTTGAAATGAAGATGTGCTTGACTCAAGTGATAATATTTTCAATTGAATTATGGTGTTGGTGAAGAATATTAAATATGACATGGACTGCCAAAAGAATGAACAAATCTGTCTTGGAAGAAGTACAGCCAGAATGTTCCTTAGAAGCAAAGATAGTAATACTTCCTCTTATATACTTTGGACATCTTATCAAGAGGGACCAGTCCTAAAGAAAGACATCATGCTTGGAAGAAAGTCAAGGAAGAAGAAGAAGACTGTCATTGATTGAGATGGATGTAGACAATGGCTGCAACACTGGGCTCAAACAAAGCAATGCTTGTGAGCATGGTGTAGGATTGGGCAGTGTTTCGTTCATCTGTACATAGGGTTGCTATCAGTCAAGTATAAACTTGAAGGCACTTAATAAGAACAAAAACAATAACTGAAAATAGTTTCTGCTGAAAGGGAAGGTTAAAATAAAAACCTTTATATTATTGCTATTAAACATCATTGAGTTGGTTCTGACTCATAGCTACTCTGTATAGGGTATCAGAGGATCAGCTGATGAGTTTGAACCACTGACCTTTTGTTTAACAATCCAGTGTTTATCCTATGGCACCATACCAGGACTCCACACATATATTTGTTGTTGTTAAGTGCGTCGAGTTGGTATTAATTCATAGTTAGCCTGGAAAGGGTTTCAAAGGAATAGCTGGTGGGTTTGAACCACCAACCTTATGGCTAGCAGTCCAGTGCTTACCTTATAGTGTCACACAAGAACTCCCCACACTTACAAAGCACTTCTATATCACAGATTACCAATTGAAATCTTTCAACAAGCTGAGGCAGCATTGAAGGTACTCACCTATCTATGCCAAGAAATTTGGAAGACAGCTACCTGGCCAACTGATTGGAAGAGATCCATATTTGTGCCCATTCTAAAAAGAGGCGATCAAATGAAGTGCGGAAATCATTGGACAATATCATTAATATTGCACACAAGTAAAATTTTGCTGAAGATTATTCAAAAATGGCTGCAGCATACATTTACAGGGAGCTTCCAGAGGTGGCTAGATTTGGATGGGGACATGGAACAAGGGATATATATCATTGTTGATGTAAGATCGATCTTGGCTGAAAGCAGAGAATTCCAGAAAGATGTTCATATATGCTTTGTTGATTGCACAAAAGCACGTGTATCATGACAAGCTTTGGACAACATTGTGGAGAATGAGTATTCCAGACCACTTAAATGTTTTCATGAGGAACCGGTACATAGACCAAGAGGCAGTTGCTTGAACAGAACAAAGGAACACTGAATGACTTAAAATTAGGAAAGGTGTGTGTGCCAGGGTTATAATCTTTTACCAAACTTATCCTCTGGTAGCACATAGTGATTATGATCAGGCTGCTAACCTCAAGGTCAGCAGTTCGGAACTACCAGCCATTTGGTAGAAGAAAGATGAGGTTTTCTGCCCCCCTTAAAGATTTAGAGCCACAGAAACCCTGTACAGTGTCACTATGAGTTGGAACCAACTCCAAAGCAAATACTCACCACCACCATAGTTCAATCCGTATGCTAAACAAATAATCTGAGAAGCTGGATTTTATGAAGAAGAATGTGACACTAGGATTGGAGGAAGACTCATTAACAACCTGCGATATGCAGATGATACAATCTTACTTGCTGAAAGACAAGAGGACTTAAAATAGTTACTGATGAAGATAAAAGACCACAGCCTTTGATATGGGTTGCACCTCAATGTAAAAAAAACAAAAATCCTCACAAATGGACCAATTAATAACATCCAAAGAAAGGTGACCCAAGGGAATGTGGAAATCATTGGACAATCTCTTTGATATCCCATGTGAATAAAGTTTTGCTGAAGGTAATACAGAAAC